GGCAGCTCCAGCCACTCTGCCCCCAGCCTGTAGCACTGCAGGGGGCTGGTGGGACCCAAGGGCAGGACCCGGCACTTGGCCTTGTTGAAACTCATCCCATTGGCCTTGGCCATCGATCCAGCCTGTCCAGATCCCTCTGGAGAGCGTTCCTACCCTCCAGCAGGTCGACGCTCCCACCCAACTTGGCGTCATCTGCAAACTCACTGAGTTTGTATCACTCATAAAGATATTAAACAGAACTGGCCCCAGTACTGAGTCCTGGGGGACACCACTTGTCACCGGCCACCAACTGGATTTCACTCCATTCACCACAACTCTTTGGGGCTGGCCATCCAGCCAGGTTTTTACCCAGCAAAGAGCACACTCGTCCAAGCCATGAGCAGCCAGGTTCTCTAGCAGAATGCTGTGGGAAACACTGCCAAAGACTTTACCAAAGTCCAGGCAAACCACATCCACAGCCTTTTTCTCATCCTCTAAGTGGGTCACACTCTCATAGAAGGAGATCAGCTGAGTAAAGTAGGACCCACCTTTCATAAACCTGTGCTGACTGGGCCCTGATCACCTGGTTGTCCTGTATGTGCTGTGGGATGGTGCTCAAAATATCTGCTCCATAACCTTCCCTGGCACCGAGGTCAGACTGACAGACCTGTGGTACCTCAGATCCTCCTTCCTGTCCTACTTGTAGACAGGCATCCCATTTGATAACCTCCAGTCAACTGGGACATCCCCAGTTAGCCAGAACTTCTGAAAAATGATGGAAAGGGGCTTGGTGAGGACTTGCACCAGCTCCATCAGTCAGTACCCTCTGGTGGATCTCATCTGGTCCCATAAACTTGTGTCTAAGTGATATGTATAGCAGGTTGCTAACCATTCCCACTTGGATTACCTGGGCTTCATTCCTCTCCCCATCATCGTCATCTCTACAAAACTTAGGATATATGCAACATAACTGCCAAATTAATGGCTTGAAGACAGAAAGTCACCACTACTCATCACTGGTAGAGGACGAAAAAGGAGGAATCAAGTCTAGTGACTCCTGTAAGCTTTTGGAACTTTTAAAAAGAAAATAAACAGCATTCTTCAGTGAAGACAACAAAAAATACTTAGGCAACATAAAAAATTGTCCAACAAATTCTCTATATACAAACCATCAGTACAAATTTTGGGTTGGGAATTGTACAAAGTAGGTGGTACAATTTTGCAACTAGAACATATTTCAAACAGCACATACACACCAAGCTATAATGTCCAACTAAATGTCCTCCTTGTTCTCCTTGTTCTAAGCATTAACAACTATCAACAAGCATTAACAAACATCAAGGAAAACAGGAATTAATCACAGTGCTTGGACACTTATCTGATGGCCACTTCAGACTTTTCTTTAAATTTACCTTTTTGCCAGGAGTTTAGAAGAGACAAACAAAACAAAGCCTACGAAATAAAACCATGTCTATCAGCCCTCTGTGCCACCAGTTATTCAACTTAACTAGTCTGTGAAATGTATTAGTTTCTCAGCACAAAACAAGAGGACATCATAGTTTTTCCCCGTTTCCCACAGCCATCCTTTTTCCCAGTCACTCTAGGACAGGAGAATATTTTTCCCTACCTCTGGGTGTGTAGCTGATCCAACAGAGGCCAGAAGATCCAGCATGGCAAGCATAGCACCAGGGTGGATAATGACCGCATCAGAGCTTTGTGCAGATGTGGGGCCTGTTTGGAGTTTCACATCAGCTATGGTTTTCTGAGGGCAAACAGGAGGTGTTGAAACAGAGTGATATGCGTGCCTGTGGGACAGAAGACATCCCATGGTTACAACATCCATTTCTTATGAGCTTTGCATTTTTCAAACAGCTGCAAAGTTGAACTGGCTTAGAGATGCTACTCCCCTCCTCCTCTCTCCTCCCTCAGTTAGACAGATCAACCATCTGAGTGTTGGACAAACCCGTTGGACATGTTCCCCCAAAGACAACCTGGAAGAGTTGCAATATTTCAACTATGCTTGAACTCAGAAGTCTTTTCCCCAGATGCTACGTAGTTTGAAGAACTTAAAGTTCTTCAAAGATCTTAACTTGCCTTTCTTGCCTCCCTCTTCCCATTCTAGCTGCGGTGGCAGCACACGGTGACGACAGCCACCACTGCTCCTGTTCTGGGGGATGAATCCAGCTTTGGATACGTTTCTCCCCATTTGCTTTTCAGTAACAACTGATTAGAAAACGTCCTATCGCAAAACTCTCGGAAATCTCTAATTATCCTACAGAAACAGAAAGCTGGGCTTGGTGAACACTCGTGCCAGCAGTTCCGTATGTCCTCAGTCTATGGCAATTCAGTTTTGCATTAAGCTGCTTTAATCTGATTCAGGGAAAAGAGGCTTTGACACACTGACTTAGAAGCAACCACTTGTACTGAAACTCTCCGAGGTATCAGCTTGATGCCATTCTTCTTCCAGCACAAGATTCAACACACAAACAGCATGAACAGCTGACTGAAGATCAAGATGGTACTTCTGAAGCAAAAGCTAGCTCCAAAGGCTCAACACAAAAAGAAAAAACAAAACAAACCACAACTAAACCCACCCAAATTCTGACAGTATTTATCATATACGCTTATTTGCAAGAAGAAAGAAAACAAACTCTATGTAACAAATTTTTTTTGAAGACCAAATATTGCCTGACGTTTTACAAGAAGTGAACTCCATTAAAATCGGGTCTCTTCCTATCAAATCAGTTGATAGAGGCATTTCCTCTCTCCTTTCCTCAGTGACACAGATTTACCTAACCCCTAACCCTAACAGAAGTTAACTCTCTGTGCCTCATCCATTAGGCACTTCTAACTAAGATATCTTTTCTCTGGGGAAAAACAGGACGTAGATGGGAGCTGAGGAAGGCTGTGTTCCCATCGAAAAGGTTCATGGCAGATCTGAACAACTCAAGAGCACTTTTTAAAGGAGATATTTATTTTTTTTTTTAAGAAAAATGAAATTACTGATGTTTTACTCATTTGGCAAACACTTACAGCAAACATGAAATAGTATGACAGTTCTATTCTAACCAACCACTAAGAAAAAAATCTGCCCAAATCAATTTTTCTAGTGTTTTAACAAACTCTCTAGTCATCAGTTTCCTAAAGTTCTCCAGCAGACTCACTGACTGAAGCACCTGGCAGGCAGAGGAAGGCTTCATTGACTCTTGTAAAATTAAACGGAATTAAGAACAGCAGAACAACTGCTAATACTATCATAGAGAGATGTTATCTCAACCCTTTTCTCTGTCTTAACACAGAGGTTGAAACTCAGGCAGTTGTTTCTCGTGCATCCTAGCAGCTCTGCTCTTCATCTGAAGGAAACTGCTACCTCTTTCCAATGTCACCTTGAGCACCTCAACGCAAGACTTACAGGACACGGTTTAAAAACTAAATACCCATTTGTATTGAAGAACACTCTTCGGTCTGGTGAAATTCTGCTCCCCAGACATTCTTGAGGATCAAGCTTCCACCCACTTGTAAACCCAAATTTTAAATACCCATTTGTATTGAAGAACACTCTTCGGTCTGGTGAAATTCTGAGACATTCTTATTCTTGAGGATCAAGCTTCCACCCACTTGTAAACCCAAATTTTACATCCTGATCCATCCTATCACATTCACTTCATGAGGTAAACTGTGAGGTTGTAACACTGTGGTACAGGGAGAGCCTAATAAAAACCCAAGCCATCACTCAGTACGATTCATGAACAAGCATGTGATTCTGGCCTCAAATGACCTGAACTTCAGCATTACATACAACAAACTGAAAAGGGGGTACTAGTGAAGACTAGGCAATTCACTCTTCTGTTATCCATCTAAGTTATATCCTTGCAGCATATATTATCGAAAGTTTTTCATATAATTTTAAAATACCTTCTGTATTTTTCCATATAAGGAGTACTCGTATCAAAATAAAAAAAAGAAGACAGTTCGACGAGATTTCTCTGGGCAAGGAAAAGAAAATAGATCCTACAAAATCCTGCAAAAGTATTCATTGAGTATTACAGGTCTATGGCTCAGTGCAGAACCCGCAACAAATTAATTAATCCATCCTCATACATTCTTTATATGATCCCTTTAAGGGAGAAGACAGGAAGAAGTGGACAACAGAAAAAGGCAGTGTACTGAAGATGATACAGATCTAATTTAACAAAAAAGAAAACTTAAGTAAAATTCTAACTTAAATTACATAATTAAGTACAACTCTTGATGAGAAATATAACACCATTTTCATCTGGAAAGAAATAAGTAAGATATTGTAGATAAACCCTCTGCATACCATTCTCCAAGAGTGATCACTACACAAACTTTGAAAAAACAATGGCTAAAACTGTATTAAAGTCAAAGCTACATTCTATTCTCTACTTTGCCCCATCAGGCTTAAGACATCCTCAATAAAAAAAATAAAAAAGAGAGAGAGAACATCAAGTAAGGTTTTTTCTGCCAAAATTTCCAGCGATCAAGCTGGTGAAGCTGCAGTTCTTGATTCAAATGATACAGGAGGAGTGGAAGAATAATGCATTCCAGGAATTAGTCCTACCTATGCTGTTTATATAAAAGATAAAACTTGGAGGGCACCGCTCACTCCTCGGGGAAATACAGCTTTGAGAAGTGGCAGGCAAGTCTGAGAGAGAATATTAGAATATCAGTGTATGTATGTATGTATCCAGGACCATTCTAGATTATGTGGAAAAGCAGAACTGTAGTGGTTTTGTTTGTAAGAATTCTTTGTGTGCACAGTGCCTGCTTGCTCTTCTACCCAAACAGCACAGGGCTCTCCCTCGGGGACCTGCCTTCAAAAGGCAGGAAACCCAGGCCAAAGAAACAAGGGAGATCCCAGGGAAGCAAAGGAAAGGAGAGAGAAAACAGTAAGAAAAAAGCAAACCCTTCTCTTGGAAAAGTCAACTTTGACAGAACCTGACCATACCTGACATTTAAAAAATGGGGAAAAAAAAAAATAAAATAAAATAATATTGTACTACAAACCCCAAGTTGCTTGTTTCTGAAAGTAGGAAGATCCCAGCTACTGGCACTGAATTCCCTAGGAATGACAAACACGATGCTGAACACCCGTGAGAAAGCAGACAGCTGCTCAAACAGACTTTTTAAAAAAGCCTAGCCCTCCCTATTTATTTTATTTTTTTAACTTGAAAACATGCTTTTACAGAAAGGATCTGAAAAGTCAACCGGGCCAGCACGATCACTCTTTGTGTCCACTTTTGCTGTGAGCCTTACAAAATTTATTATGGCCCAAAGGTTTGTGAAGATCCAAATCAGGTGCACCCTTTTACTTTAGCACTCTACTGGTGCTTACCTGACTTGCCCAAAGCAGCAACCCATGGGGAGACTGACTTTTGAAACCCTCCAATCTTTACCTCACCTTGTAACACACTTTTTAAATAACTGGTTGCACTTTCAGTACTACAAAAAAAAAAAAACAAACCAAAAAACCAAAGAAACCCCAACCAACCACGCAAAAACCTTCCACGGCAAACGTTGCCTTCTTTCCAGTTTCTTCAGAATAAATGAGAGGAGAAGGAGTTTGGCAGCTGAGGTTTTTCCTCTCTGAACTGCAACTGCTACCTTTGTTCCTAAATGCCTCGGTGTTAGGAAAGAAAGGAAACAATAGTCTAAGAGTTTGTGGATTCTTGGGAAATTGGCCTTATCCAAGCCAGTCCCTGCAGAAGACCCAGGTATGACTTGGGTAACGCTACTCTGCAAGACAAAAAAAGGCTTCTCTTTCTTGACTAACCTGCTCGAGCACAAACATCTCCCTTCCAAGCAGGTTCTCAAAGCAGCTTTGGTTGCTTCCCTTTGCAAAATAACTTTTCATTCCAAACATAGAACTCTGTGCAGACTTAAAGCCATACACCGAGCCATCACAACTGTATTTTCCACACGTGGCACCTGCACCTCACATAACCCACAGTCTTTCAAAGGTCTTTTGAGGCTTCAAAAGCAAATCTCCACCTCAACTGCACCTTCAGGTAACAAATGGCTACCCCCTTGCCTAGAGTCTCCAGGAAAAAAAAATCTCCTTTTCATCATTTCCAAAGGCCTGTAAGTCACAACCCCCTTGCCTAGAGTCTCCAGGAAAAAAATCTCCTTTTCATTCATTTTCAAAGGCCTGTTGTTGAATCAGTAAATTATTGGGTTTTTTTAAAGAAAAAGTATTCTACCAGACATGAAGACACATAAGAAAAGATAGGAACTTGGGAGGGAAAGTGGGTGCTAAGATTTCTCAGTTGTGCCATTGGATCTTTCCTTCCAAACCCTTTCATTGAGCTTGCCTCTGCATCGTTTGATAGTCAAGTGCTGACAGGTTCATTCTTTATTTTTGTACTCGGTGCAATTACTAACAAATGAGGACCTTAACAAGCCATCCACCTTCCCACTAGAAGTACTTTTTCTTGAAAAATCAGACAAGAAAAAAGAAATCCTGCTGTATTAACCATCTACTGGCATAGTCTGAACTTCTTTGAACTGCTCCCAAGAGTTTCATTTATACCTCCTTTAAATCATTCCTTATACTAGACCTTATTTGGTTTTGAATCACGAACTTTAGGTGCTTCAGGAGTCTGGAGACATCTCCAATCTCATCCGTTCACATCACTGTGAAACATACCTTTACTTTTCTTTTATTTAGTAAACACACATGAAATTGCACACCTCAGAAAAAAAGAAATAACAAAAACTACTTGAGAGATCTTTTATTTAGTAAACACACATGAAATTGCGCACCTCAGAAAAAAAAAATTAATAAAAACTACTTGAGAGAAAAAAGGAAACCCCAAACTAAGAAACAGAGAGAAATCAGAAGCAAGATCAACTTCTCTTGGAAGGGTCGGTACCTTTTCCTGGACAAAGCTGGCGTACCCCAGGGAGAGGGGAGAGAAGTCTCATTTGTCAGGCAAGGAGGGATCTGTTCTGCACGACTACAGACAAAACAGACAGGGGGAGGACAGAGAGGTTAGAGAAGAAAAACAGAGGCTGTAAAGCTTGTTAGTTTTACAACAGCACCAATCAAATCATTCCTAGGATCCATTCTTCAGAAACAAGGTGGATGACAAAGGACAGTACCCAACAAGACAGGGACATGTTAAGTTGTGTTATGGCATGACTGCTGTGCTCCTCAGGGTTATCCATAATCAGCACGGATAAGACATGAAAATCAATGTAAACTTTGCAAAGAATGACCATCAGAAAATTGAAGAAAGAAAAAGGAGAATGCAGTCACTGAAGATGACAGGGGAAAAAAAAAAAAAAAAAAAAAAAGGAACTTAATGAGGTAGTGTGTGCAACACCACCACGGGATTGACTTACCCCATTGATTCCTCCTACTGCACTGTAAGCCAGTGTTAGAACTTCTACAGTACGTGCAACACATTCTTAATACACATTCTCCTCCATCTATCTGAATGCTTTAATAATACTTAATAACAATGAGATCAAATAAATTAATTGCTGTAGTCTACTCTTGTCTTTTTGGGGTGGTTTTTTTTGTTCTTCGTTATATTAAAAAAACCCAAACATAACCAAGAGAAAACCATTAAGATTTGTCAATTTTGAGGTAAAATGTTCATTAACAAAACCATGAAGTTTGTATTTGGCTAGTCACGTATTTTAAGAAAGCCTGACCAACTGGCAGCTCTATTAATATCTCAACATATTTCAGGAGAGCCTGTTTAGAAAGGCCTGCAGTGACAGGACGAGGGGCAATGGCTTCAAGCTGGAGGGGAACAGATTTAGACTGGAGATGAGGAGAGGGTTCTTCACTGTGAGGGTGGTGGAGCACTGGAACAGGTTGCCCAGGGAGGTGGTTGAGGCCCCTTCCCTGGAGATATTCAAGGAGAGGCTCGACGAGGCCCTGGGCAACCTGGTCTGGTTGGGGGTGTCCCTGCTGACTGCAGGGGGGTCGGACTAGATGGCCTTTGGAGGTCCCTTCCGGCCTGGACAACTCTATGATTCTATGATTCTATATTTCAACACTTGGAAAATCAGACCCTATTTTTGACTAACTAGGTGGCCTGTCTTATTAAAACAGGGTGACATGCATTAAATAGCTGGGGTGAAGAAGCTCCAAGGTCCCAGATAAGAAGTTTAGGTCTGTGTTTTACTCTTTTATACCTTAAATCATAGGCGAGAAGTACTTTAAGATAAGCTAATCTTCAACATGTACTTCAGTAAGATTTGTTGTCATTTTGAATCAACATTAGGACACACATTACTGCCCATTTCAAATGGCAAGTAGAATTTAAGTTCTAGTTGTTTAACTCTGGGAACGTCTCCCAGTAAAATTTAAAAAATAATAATTCACAGACTAAACAAAATATCTAGTTTAAGTAAGGAAAAAAAGGAGGCTGAGGGGAGACCTTATTGTTCGCTACAGCCCCCTGAAGGGAGGTTGTAGAGAGGTTGGGGTCGGTCTCTTCTGCCAAGTCACAGGTGATAGAACAAGAGGAAATGGTCTCAAGTTGCACCAGGGGAGGTCTAGATTGGACATCAGTAAAAATTTCTTCACTGAAAGAGTCATCAAACATCAGAACAGGCTGCCCAGGGAAGTGGTTGAGTCACCATCCCTGGAGGTATTCAAAAGAGGGGTAGACATGGCACTTGGCGACACAGTTTGGTAGTGGACTTGGCAGTGCTCAGTTAACGGTTGGACTCGATGATCTTAGGTCTTTTCCAACCTAAATGATTCTATGATTGTAAATTGGTCATGATATTATCTACTTCCTTAATTTGAAGGCCCGTATCAGAGAAAACATGAAGTTAAAGCATGACATTCAAGAACCAGGTTTTCATTTGATATAATAAAGGCATGAAAATCTAGTAGTTCCGTATGACAAAGCAACGAGATAATTTGCCTATCAAACAACAGGATACTTCAATACATCAAATATACCCCTAAACTGACATCTGTATCTTGATTGCTGCCATGACAAAAAAAATTCCACATATGTATAACCCTGGAGAACACCAGCAAGCTAAATCAATATTTGGTCAGATGTTGCCACTTTATATTCCTCTCACTGGAGTGAGCAAACAGAGAAATAGATTAAAATGGAAATACGAAAGCTTGCAATGAACATATCTGAAGAAAACTATTTTGGGGAAACAGCAGGGAAAATAAAAAAAAAAAAAGAAAAAAAAAGAAAAGTTCATACCTGTCAAAAGAATCTGTTGCTACCTTGTAGAGGTAAATAAAAAGTTTGCTGCAGTGTCTTAGCGTCGGTGACACAGAATCCAGGGATATTAGGTCATCCTCCAAAAGTCTTTGAAACAGTTGCGTGTTTGAAGGGAAGACATTCAAGGGGCTTATTTTTCTCAAGTCTGAGAAGCAGCCAAGTAATCGAACAGCATCTGCCAGTTTTTCATACTGGATCTCTGTTTTGAAGAAGTGCGAGTTGGCGGGCTCGTAGCGCATGGCTGCAGTCAGCGTGCAGAACACAGTGTGGAGCAGCTCAAACACTTGATTCTGGTTTACTTTCTCCCAGCCGTTCTTTGGGGGCGAGCACAAAGATCTCTCCATGGCAACGAGCAAAGATGTGACATACACAAACCCACCGACTTTTCTAAAGACAGTTCTTGTGCGGTGACTCTCCCTCAGCACCGAGAGCAGGGCCTGTGGACAAAACAAACAATCCACACAAAGAAGAAGAAGAAAAAAGAAAAGCAGCAGCGTTACAAACAGCTTGGAAAAAAAAGGTAGGGATGTTTTTGTTTGATATGCTAGCGAAATCCTCACGTGGTTTGTTATTTTGATAATGCCTGAAGTCTCCAGAGATCAACTTTGTACTGCAAGAGTCCCCATCCTCAAGAGCTTACAAAATAAAAAGAGAAGGAATGGGGGGGAGAAGTAAAGCATTGCCCCTAATTTAGAAACAAGAAATTAAGGAGATAAATAAACCTGCCGACATAAAAGACTTGACCAAGCCTAGAATGGAACCCAAAATCCCCAGGTAATTCCTTTAGTGATATGGCAGAGAATATAGCTATTGGAAAAGAATCTACTCTGCCATCATAATTCACAATTTCAAAGAACTGAGTGGGCAAACGACTGCCCGTAGCAATGAGAAATCTAAACCTTGGAGCATCCTAACACGGGTCTCCCAGAAACCTCCGATGCATGAGCATCTGGCAGCTATGAATAATAAGCCCCAAAACCAGAGTTAGTTTTAGCTTTCCTCTGTAATGACACCCCTAAGTCTCTGAATTGAGTGAAACTTGATTTTAAGAGTTGCTGTTCAAAAATAAGCCTGAGAGATACACAAAAATGGACAAAACCTTACTCGCTGAATTAATACAAAGCCAAAGCATGAACAGCAGAAGTTACATTCTCTAGGTAGAGACATGCTCAAGAATGACTGAAGACACTGATATACAAAACATGTCAAATGAATCATTTTATTACTAGCTTTCCTTTCTGTCTTTTTGGAATAATACGAAGCTACTTTGTCTTCCAGAGAAATATTACAGCTCTTTTTAACGGAGAAGAACATACACGTCTCAGAGTTCTCTCTGGTAAGACTCAATTACTTACTATTACTTGTCTCAGCTTTACTACCCTAAAATAACAATGTTAAGTCAAATTACAAAGATAACACCAGCTATTCTAAGAAGCAACTGTGGGTCTAGATTAGCAGCCAAAAATGCTAATACAATAGAAAACAGATGAGAGTCTTCTCTCTTCCTCCTCCACTCACAGCCTTATTTTCCTATCTTTCCCCTATTTTGCTGAAGCAAGCAAGCTCTTTGGCTTGATCTCCTACTGTGATCACTACCATTAGATTTATATTAACTAATTCAGCATTGATAACTAACGAGAGTTAGCCTTGGCTAGATAAGTAGCCTTCACCTCTGATTTTGAAACCTGCCAAGGGCAGATGGAAGAAAATAGAAACCACAGAATCACAGAATTGTGGTGGTTGGAAGGGACCTCAGAGATCATCGAGTCCAACCACAAAAAAAAAAACAAAAAAACAAAACAAACAAACAAAAAAAAAAAACCACACCACCCACCACCTAAACACACAACAACCACCAAACCAAAAAACCATCACCCACCCACTCAGCAACCCACGACAAACCAATAATCTTGGGCACTAGAGCATGCCCTGAAGAGCCATGTCTACACGTTTCTTAAATACCTCCAGGGACAGTGACTCCACCACCTCCCTGGGCAGCCCATTCCAATGCTGGATAACCCTTTCAGTAAAGAAATGTTTCCTAATATCTAACCTGAACTTCCCCTGGCACAGCTTGAAGCCATTGCCCCTTGTCCTGACATCTGTAACTTGGGAGAAGAGACCGACCCCCGTCTCTCTACAGCCTCCTTTCAGGTACTTGTACAGAGCGATAAGGTCTCCCCTCAGTCTCCTCTTCCCCAGACTGAACACCCCCAGCTCCCTCAGCCTCTCCTCGTAAGACTTGTGCTCCAGACCCCTCCCCAGCTTCGTTGCCCTTCTCTGGACCTGCTCCAGCACCTCAATGTCCCTCTTGTGGTAGGGGCCCCACACATCAAATGTATGCATTTCAACTATCCACATTGAGTAGCTAAACACCATCCATCCATCCAATCCAATCCCCTTCCCCCAGCGTTTTCTTTTCTAAAAGAGTGGCTTAGGAGCAAGAGCCCTGAGCAAATACTTCATTTACCCTTAAGATGTCCGTTTTCAGCTGCAGTTCCGTGGGTGGAGCCGAGTGCATCAGTCCCAACAAAGTGCCCATATCGTCTTCTCCACTAGGTGATAACACCAACTGCTGGATGATCATCAGGGCGTGCTGTCGGCACTGGGGATACTTCACTATGTTGTGCACGCATCTGGCACCACCAAACTCCCTG